CGCCACGGTGCACCTCAGGGACCGCGCCCTCTCCTGCCGCCTTCGTCTGCGCGTGGGCCAAGCCTCGAGTATGTGGGGCGGGACGACCGGAGAGGGGCTGGGAGGTGGGTCCCCATTCCCTGCCGCCGGGGAGGCAGGAAGGGCTGGGGCAGAGGCTGCGCTCTAGGCCGTGTCCGAGAGCTCCCAGAAGAGTAGAGGAAGGGGGTGGGAGGCCTGCTGGAGTGGAAGGGGCCCCCCGAAGCACGTGTATGGGGGGCCCTGTGGAGAGATTGTGTCAGCCCCGAGCTCCCCTTCTCCCACCCACGCGGGAGTGCCCAGAGGCGGGCGGAGCGGGGAGAGCACGGGGCTAGAGTGATTCATTTCAGATATCTGTGGCTCAGGGGGTGGGCTTCGCAGGGATCCAGGCCAGGAGAACGGCAAGGGTGGCTGATGCCAAGTAAATTCCAGGCAAGGGACAGGGGAAAGTAGCCCTGGGGACTCTTGGGGATCCACTTGACGCACCTCCAGGTGCTGGGAGCTGAGATGGGGAGAGGGTGATGCAGGAGAGAAGACAAGTCTAAAGCCAGGTTCCTGTTTCCAGGAGCTTCCAGTTTGGCAGTCCTGCTGTGTTGGGAAATTGTTTCCAGTGGGCTGATCAAGTCTTCTTTATCCTTGCACAGTGACTGCCAGCCCCCCAGGGTCTCTCAGGACCTCTGACTGGGTCATTTTGAACTGCTCCTTCAGCCGCCCAGACCGCCCAGCCTCTGTGCATTGGTTCCGGAGCCATGGCCAGGGCCGTGTCCCTGTCCAGGAGTCCCTCCATCACCACTTAGCGGAAAGCTTCCTCTTCCTGCCCCATGTCGGCCCCATGGACTCTGGGCTCTGGGGCTGCATCCTCACCTACAGAGATGGCTTCAATGTCTCCATCATGTATAACCTCACTGTTCTGGGTAACTCCCCCACTCTGCTTCACACTTTACCACAACCCCTTCCTGCCCCCCTTGTCACCTCCCCTGACTATGGGTCCCCAAACCAGGTTCTCGGCAGCCAGTGGCCTACATCACTGCTGTGGGCCTCACTGTTCGACCCCCTTATATTGCTGGCAGCCTTGCAGCTGCCATCGCCCCTTCTTGCTTCTCCCATAGCCTTCCAGCATCATTGCCAGCCTTCCCTCTCCTTCTGGCTAAGCCCACTTGCTGGGTTTCTGCGCATCCTCAGCTCATCACGTTATTCTGCTCCTTAGCACTCTTAAGAGCCAGGGCATCTCCTGCACTCTTCTGCCTGCCTTCCCTGCAGCCCCGGCACTCCCTCCCCACTGCAGCACCCAGCTTTAAATTTGGATTTTCTTTTCTCTTCAGGTCTGGAGCCCGCAACTCCCTTGACAGTGTACGCTGGAGCAGGTTCCAGGGTGGAGCTGCCCTGCCGCCTGCCTCCTGCTGTGGGGACCCAGTCTTTCCTTACTGCCAAGTGGGCTCCTCCTGGGGGAGGCCCTGACCTCCTGGTGGCTGGAGACAATGGCAACTTTACCCTTCGACTAGAGGATGTAAGCCAGGCCCAGGCTGGGACCTACATCTGCCATATCCGTCTACAGGGACAGCAGCTCAATGCCACTGTCACATTGGCAATCATCACAGGTCAGCCTCACATGGGAAAGGAGTAGCTCCCCTCCCAGGGGAGAAAGAACAGGGAGGAAGGGCTGGCGGGGCAAAGACTGAGCAAACCTACCCAGTGGGTGATGCTAGGCCACTGGGCACAAGTTCCTGAGCCTGCCCATCTCGGCCCCCACTTTTCTCACCCCCATAATAAAGAATCGAAACTGAAAATCTCCTCTTGAGTCACAAGATAAAAGTTCCACTGTTCTCTATGGGACTCCCCTGCTCTCAATTGGCGGGAGGGTCTGGGAAGTTAGAAGGAAAGGTGACAAAAATTCCAAATGGTTCAAAAGAGGTAGAAAATATTTCTAGAACCCTTTTCTACTTTGCGGACAGGGCTTGGGTTAAAGTTGCAGGAAGTGGCCTAGATTTGGGAGGAGTTAATAAATCCGTCCCTTGGTCAGCAGATATTTACTGAGTAAGGGTTTTCCAAGACGGTATAAAACAAACACAGAAAAAATAATACTCAGAGAGTATGTGTTGACTGGTTGATAACTATCAGCCATGACAGATTACTATGTCTGCAGCACTCACCTGCGGTCACTAAGTAGCAGCACCCCATGGCAGGTGCTTAATAATGTATAGAGATTGAATGAATACATGAACATGCTAATGGATAATACATCTCCTGAAGGCCAATCCTGAGTTTTCACTTGCTTTCTGGATACCTCTAACTAGATATTCTACCACCTCTCAGCCGCCTCACCCTGAATCCCATCTTTTTCTACCACCAATCCCCTTGCTGACTCAGCCTGTCAGTAATCCACTGGTATCCACCCACCTCGAAACCTGGCCGCCTCTTCCCTACGTCCCATCAGTCATCAAAGCCCACCAGTTCTTTCTGTCCAATGCCTTCTTGAAGGTCAACTGTTTTATGTAGACAGCTCAATGAGAAAGATACTGTTACCCCTGAAGACTTTCTCAAAACACCTGGGAAGTGCCAGACTCTGGGTCTAAACTCAGGTGTCTGCATCACCAAATCACTCTTCAGGACCCTTTGTCTCCTCCCACCCTCCCATCTCTCACTTTACAACTTGGAGAATGCTCAGTCTCTAGATGAATGGGCCAGTTCCCTGTTCTCTATACATTCAGAAAGGGGGATGATGTTCATTCAGGGGACACCACAAGGCAGGAGACACTGATGTGAGCCATGTCATGGAAGTTGCAAAATTGTGAAGTAGACGGGGGGTCAGCTCATCTGACTGATTTTGAGGGTTCTGAGCATTTTGAGTAGAAAGTAATAAAAGAATCTGTAATAGTATTTCTTCTGTGGTCTGCCAGGGCCAGTTTGAGTGTGAAGGCAGTAGGGAGCCTGGAAATGTTTTGAGCAGGGGAAGGAGCTGACTAGAGCGTTGTCTGAACAAGATAAATGTGGCTGGCAGGGTGTGGTGGCTCACGCCTGTAATCCCAGCACTTTGAGAGGCTGAGGCAGGAAGAACACTCGAGTCCAGAAGTTCCAGACTAGCCTGGGCAACATGGTGAAAACCCATCTGTATAAAATTTAACAAAAAATTAAATAGAAAGAAAAAGATGAATGTGGCCATGACCCCTGATGTCCTTCCCCAACCTCACCTGGCCAGAACCCAAGTGAGTGCATGGTGATTGAGGCTTGGAGTTCAACCTGTGGTATCACATAAGGGGGTCAGAAACCCAAAAGATCTCTTCCTTCTACTCTTTTCAGTGACTCCCAAATCCTTTGGGTCACCTGGCTCCCTGGGGAAGCTGCTTTGTGAGGTGACTCCAGCATCTGGACAAGAACGCTTTGTGTGGAGCCCCCTGAACACCCCATCCCAGAGGAGTTTCTCAGGACCATGGCTGGAGGCCCAGGAAGCCCAGCTCCTTTCCCAGCCTTGGCAATGCCAGCTGCACCAGGGGGAGAGGCTTCTTGGAGCAGCAGTATACTTCACAGAACTGTCTAGCCCAGGTCCGAGGCCCCAAAATGCCAGGACCCCAATGCCACAGCAATAATCTTTATCCCCTTCCAGAACAGCCCCTGCCACCCCCATCCCAGCGCTTTTCTTTCCAGACAGGGACCTGATCTCTGGCTCTTGCCTAGGGTTGACCTGTTTCCACCAATAATCAGCTGAAAGACGTGGGACAAGTCCCTTAAACTCTCTGGATCTCCTTGCATCTGTAAAGTCTGAGGGAGTGACAAAATGTCCTTTCTAGCCCTGACCCTACACCTCATCCTGTACTTTCTCCATAGGTGCACAACGCTCTGGGAGAGCCCCAGGGGCCCTCCGAGCAGGCCACCTCCCGCTGTTTCTCATCCTTGGTGTCCTTTTTCTGCTCCTTTTGGTGACTGGAGCCTTTGGCTTTCACCTTTGGAGAAGACAGGTGAGCCAGGGACGTGCCAACCCCGCCCCCCCAACAGCCCCTCCTCTTCCATCCTCAGAGTGCTGAGGACACCCCTTCCTCAGGAAGGTGACCAAAGGGGACCCTGAACTTGCCCTCGGAGCCCCCCCTTCTTCATAAGCCTCTCACTCCAGGGACGGCTTGTGCCTGGGTAGGCTGGAACGGGGGTTGAGAGAAAGCCAGGACCAGATGGGGAGGGCAGGGTGGCTGAGAAAAAATAGATGGACTCAGTGTCCTTCCTAATCCGTTTCCCTTCATCCTTCTCCTCCTTCCACCCTCCATCTCTCTCTCCATCTCTTCTTACAGTGGCGACCAAGAAGATTTTCTGCCTTAGAGCAAGGGATTCACCCTCCGCAGGCTCAGAGCAAGATAGAGGAGCTCGAGCAAGAACCGGAGCTGGAACCAGAGCCGGAGCTGGAGCGCGAGCTGGGGCCGGAGCCCGAGCCGGGGCCTGAGCCCGAGCCGGAGCAGCTCTGACCTGGAGCTGAGGCAGCCAGCAGATCTCAGCAGCCCAGTCCAAATAAACTCCCTGTCAGCAGCAAGCCTGAGTCTGGCTCTTTCTTGTCCAAGTGAAGGTTCCCGTCTCTCCCCAGCCTCTGGGGGCTCCCTTCTCCCACCCTAGCCTCCTAACCTACTTTCCCCAGCCAGCCTCCCTCACCTTCCCCTTTTCTGTTTCTGGCTGCTTCGCGTTTCTTTCTTGGTCTCTCTCTCTCTTGCGCTCACTCTCTTTTTCTCTCTCCTGGGTAATCATTTCCCTGAAGCTCCCCCCAAAAAGACCTTGCCCCTTGCCTCCGCAGCTCTCTCCTCCGTCCTTCCACCCACCTTCCACCCACAGTGCGCTGGCTGCCCTGGTTTCCTTGATATTTTTGTCCTTTGGGTCCACCCCACCCCACTCTCAGCTGCACTTCAGCACTTGTCCTTGGCCCTCCGGCTGCAGCAGATGCGCACATATGCTCGCGCGCACGTGCACACACGCATGCACACACACACACGCGCGCGCACACACACACACACACACGCACACACGCGCGCGCGCGGAGGACTGCCTTGTCAAGTCTTCCAGGAGATCTGGTCTGGAAACCTCTCTGGGCAGCCGGCTGGTGCTCCTACCTCTGCCCCACCCCCTACGTTCCTCAGCCCTTGGCGGCTTTTCAGGTCCCAGGCATGAGAACACACTGCCACCCAGTGGTCAGTGTTTGTCACACCCCAACGGAGGTCACTGGGCCGGCTGCGGCAGGCCTGAGGAGTTGAACAGTGCAGTGGACAAGGCGGAGCACAGATGGCTGCGAATGCAGGCACTGCCTTTGTATTGTGTACGCTCTATGTGCAGCATATGAGTGTGCGCCCAGTGACTGTCACATGTCCTATGCACCCTTCAGGAGAGGGACTGAACAATGCATGTCTCAGGAGATACAGCCCTGGCTGACCCTGGCAAGGGTGTAATCTATGTCTGACAAAGGGGAAGGCTGTGAACAAAGGCCTGTGCCTGGAGCAAAACAGCCAGCTACGGCTGCGGGAATCAGGAGCCCCGGCTTCTCATTCCAGCTTTGTTGATGTGACTGTAATGAATCTCCCTGAGCCTCAGTTTCCTCACCTATTAAATGGGATAATGATAATAACCCACCAGAATGGGTTGTTGTGAATATTGGATAATAAAGGGCTTTGGAAACTGTGAAGTGCTCTGCATGTGTGGAGTACTTGTCTGATTATCCATTAGTGAAGGAGAAAGCAGGCCTGCTCTGGTCATGCTACGAATGATGTTGAAGACCCCAAGTCGGCCTGCGCCCTACTCTGTCTGTCTGTCTTGGAGCATTCACCTGGGCCATGCCGATGGTCCTCTCAGCAGAGCACACACGGCCTCAGCACATGGCACCCTCCAGTCTGGAATGGGACAGAGGCTTCTGCCTGTGAGTGGGTGTGGGCCCTGGACTTTGGCCACAGATAGCTCTGTCAGGGGACTTTAACCCCATAGAGGAGAACAAAATATTGAAAGTGAGTGGGTGAGTGGGAGTGAGCCTGCTGGAGCAGGAGGGGCATGGTGGCATGTGTGAGTGGCGCCAACTGGGTCTGTGTGACGTGTGCAAAAAGACATAAAAAGACAGACCTGAGGACATGTCCCTGCAGAGACACCGTAGTCACTCATTGGAGACAGAGGATAAAGAGGGTGACACCTTTGTTCTGTGCAGAGCCTTAGGGAGAGGGGGGACCCTCTGAAGCCTGAACAATGAACCATTTACAGCAATCTGAGGTTCTGAGCCTCAGGATGGTGATGACTTTTGCCTTGTCACTGGCAGAGAAACACTGGCACAGGAAGGAGGAAGCTCTGGCCCTGCCAGAGATGATCACACTGCAAAAGGACTTGAAGTCCCTTTAGAAGCTTCCAGGCCAGGTGTCATGGCTCATGCCTATAATCCCAGCACTTTGGGAGGCCAAGGCAGAAGGATTGCTTGAGTCCAGGAGTTCAAGATCAGCCTGGGCAGCATAGTGAGACCTCATCTTTAAAAAAAAAAAAAAGGGTTAGTTGGGCACACTGGTACGCCCCTGTGGTCCCAGCTATTTGGGAGGCTGAGGTGGGAGGATCACCTAAGCCTGGGAGGTTGAGGCTGCAGTGAGCCATAACTGTGCCACTACACTCCAGCCTGCGTGACAGAGTGAGACCCTGTTTCAAAAACAAAAAATAAGAAGCCTCCAAAGCGTCGTTCCCACCCTTTGTTGCTGCTCAGAGACTCCTCAGCTCTGCCCCAGGACCCTGCTCCCCACAGCCTTAGTGGGAGCCCTGATATTTTAGTAGGGCAGGGGTTTCCTGGAAAGTTCTGTGGGTGGCATTTTTCCTTTCTACTAGCTAACATCCTATGCCCTTTGGGTTTATGAGAGTAGTCATCGAAGATTCACTGAGGCCTATGCGGGGACTTCCCCATGCTCTTTCATAAAGGGGACAGGGAGGGGACAGAAGCAGAATGAAGGGCGTCCTTTTTCCTTTACCCCCTAGAGAAGAGCAAAGGGCGGAAGGAAGAGGGGGCATATGGGCTGCATTCCGTGAGTGCTTCTCTGTGGGGTCTCTCCTGAGGGTGACATTCTTGGTGCCACTCCTCTTTCCACAGCCCCCCACTATCAGTCTGGCAGGATAACCTCCAGCCTTTTTCCTGTCCTCCAAAGGCCCCTAGGGAGCTTGGTTAATTCATCTGGCTTCTCCAGTTGATCTGTAAACTGGTGCTCCAGGCTGCGGTCCTGGAGGGAAGGAGCATCAGAAGGCCAGGAGCTCAGGGAGCTTCAGTGGGTGGGTGGGAATCAGCTCAGCTCCTTGTTAAGAAGGAAGGGGGTGTGTGTGAGTTACCTATTGGCGTATAACCAAAAAATTACCCTAAAACGTAGTAATTTAAAATAATAAGCTGGGTGGGTGCCTCACACTGGTAATCCCAACACTTTGGGAGACTGAGGCAGGAGGATTGCTTGAGGCCGGGAGTATGAGACCAGCCTGGGTAACTTAGTGAGATCACACCTCTACTTTTTTTTTTTTTTTTTTTTGAGACAGAGTCTCACTCTGTTGCCCAGGCTGGAGTGCAGTGGCTTGATCTCGGCTCACTGCAAACTCCATCTCCCAGGCTCAAGTGATTCTCCTGCCTCAGCCTCCCAAGTAGCTGGGACTATAGGCGCATGGCACCACACCCTGCTAATTTTTGAATTTTTGTATTTTAATTAATAATCAATTAATTATTTTTGAGACAGAGTTTTGCTTTTGTTGCCCAGGCTGGAGTGCAGTGGCACAATCTTGGCTCACTGCAAGCTCCGCCTCCCGGGTTCAAGCAATTCTCCTGCCTCAGTCTCTGTAGTAGCTGGGACTACAGGTGCCCACCACCACGCCTCGCTAACTTTTTGTGTTTTTAGTAGAGATGGGGTTTCACTGTGTTAGCCAGCGTGGTCTCGATCTCCTGACCTCGTGATCCGCCTGCTTCAGCCTCCCAAAGTGCTGAGATTACAGGCGTGAGCCACCGTGCCCGGTCTACAATTTTGTTTTCTTTTTGAATTTAAAAATGAGCTGGGCATGGTGGCATGCACCTGTGGTCCTAGTTATTCAGGAGGCTGAGGGAAAGGAATCACTGGAGCCCAGGATTTCCAGGCTGTAGTGAGCCATGATTGTGTTACTGCACTCCAGAGTGGGTGACAGGGTGAGATCCTGTCTCTAAAAATAATAATAACGATCACAATACACACTATCTCACACAATGAGGAACTCAGGAGCAGTCTTGCTGAGTAGTTCTGGCACAGGGTCGCTCATGAGGTTGCTGCTGAGGTGTGGGCCAGGCCAGGAGCCATCTGAAGGCTGGGATGGGCCTGGAGGATCTGCCTCCAAGACAGCTCCCTTGGGAGGTTGTGGGCCAGAAGCCTTAGTGCCTCCCTGCGTGGGCGTCTTTATGGGGCCTCTCACAACATGACACAGCAACTGGCTTCCCCCAAAGGGACAGCGTGGACAAGACAAAAGCTACCATGTCTTTTGATCTGGAAAACAACATACCATGATTTCTGCCCTATTCCATTGGTCACAGAGACCAACCTGGTGCAAGCAGAAGGGGGCAATGCAAGGGTGTGAACGGAGGGAGACAGGAGTCACTGGGGGCCATCTTGCAGCCTGGCTGTCAGAGTGGGGAGCAGTGCCTGAAACAGGGATAGGCCAAGAGAGGAGAAGGGACCCCTCTGAGCATCTCCATCCCCAGCCGTCTTCTCTTGTCCACTCTCGAGAAGTTCTGGAAGCCAAGTAAGGTCCAGGGCCCTGGCAAGTCGAGTGTGTGAGGTAGGAGGCCGTACTGTGCACACTCAGCCCTGGAGTCGGGTTTGCCAGCCGTTCCCCTACCCGTGACCTGGTCTTCTCAGCTCCATAGCGCAGAGGAGGAGCCTCTGCAGGCCCAGAAATGTCCTTGCCCACCTCCCCTACCTGGTAGAGATGTTAGGGTTCAGGCCTGAGCCCCTGCTGCTATCCCTCCTTCAAAGGAGGAGATCAAGGAGCTTAGGATCCCCTGCACAGGCCCACCCCAGGGTGGGGTTCTTCCTTTGAAGGGAATGGGTTTGGGGTAGGGTCGGTTCTATCTGTTCTACTCTGTGGCTGACAGTTTCTCCAAGGGGCTGCAGGTGTCAGCTGTCTGAGCCCAGCCTGAGCTCTGAAATGTGCCTACTCAAACTTACGTGGGGTGAGGGAGGCCCAGAATCACCCTCTGAGAGTGGCAACAAGTGGTCCTGCAGCCAGGGGAAATGTGGATGGGGTAGACACGGTGTTGATACTCCTAGACTTTGCTTCCCAGAGAATAATCCCAAAGACCCCTCCCCTGCTCTCCATCCTCAAACCCTGCCCCCAGCCCCCTTTGCAGAGGGCGTCAGTGCCGCCAAACATACTTCTGGTAAGGAGGCCACCGCAGAGTTGCACCTGGGACTTTCAAATTTCCTACAACCCTGGCTGCCCTAGGTCTCTCAGATCATCTAGTCTCCAGCACTCTGTCTGTTGCCTCTGACACCAGCTTCTCTCTCCTCCCCATCACTTCTTCCCCTGGCT